GGCTGAAATTATTTCCCCTGAGAAGTCTGAAAAAAAAACCCGAAGTGCTCTGCACTTCTGCGTAGAATAAAGTGGGAAGAACCACATAAGTGATCTACAAATCCGAAGCTTTTTCCTCTTTTGGTTTATTGAGAGAGGAAGCACGAGATTAGTTTGTTTGCACTGAAAGAAGACGAATGGTAATTAAACTACCGGTCTTTACCAGAGGCATCCTCACATAAACACCGCCAAAGATGGTTCAATGAGACCGCTATTAGCGTCCATGTATGTTATACACTTCGGCCAGACCGTTCTAAATATGAGACATCAACAAGTCTCCAGTTTTGTGAGGACGCATGTTGGTAAACCTCTCTAGGTCTCCACGACTGAATTGAGCGGGTCATATGAAAAGGATCTAAGAATTGCAAAGCTTCTTCCCACTCAAAATAGTAATACCCGGAATTTGTAGGACAACCTCAACGATTCAGCTCAGATCTCACAGCTTTTTAATAACCACTTTGCCCAATCATTCACACTATCCATAAAGCATCCACGTACCTCCTTTCTTGATATCTCCAGTTATTTTATTTACTATCTAAATGGTTAAAGAGAAGTAAGGTATTTATTTTTTATGGCCTAGGACCTGATTTCTAAAAACAATTCATAAAAAACCGTCAACCAAGTCGTGACCAATCAGTAAGCCAGCATTTCATAAGATGATACGACGTCTCAAAATTTTACCTTCTCCAGTTCAGTCGTAGTCGCCGTCAGTCATCCCCAATGGCCAACAATAAAAACAAAGAGGAAGGGGGTAGGAGTGGATTTTGAAAGACTCCGCAGGCAGATGCCATAAAAAAGAACTTGCATGCCTGCCTCGTTTATTGTGCACTTGTGTGTGTGTTTGTGTGTATGGTCCCTACGGCCATAACTGATTGCTTTTGAGTGCCTGCCTAGCACCGCGCCATGCCATATGTTTTCGCTCACAGCAGACATTTCGTGCTGCCTCGGTGGCCGCGGCAGATTCTGCTTCTCCTGATCCCGCTATGGATGCTTTTACCTCGCGGAATGCAAATTTATCACGGTTTCCGATGGAGGGAGGGGGAAGGAGAATGAAGGAATGTGGCATCTTGTGGTTTCCAAGGTTATGGTAATGCTGCCATGTTTAAGCCTTGAAGTTCAAATAAAGTAGTACTGCTGGTCGTCGTGATTGTTAAGTTTTAAACAACTTGTCAAAATTAATGCCTCTGGATCCTCGAGTAGCACCAACTTTGGTTTTAACAGTTGGAACCCAAGGCACGATGTTGAATCTGTTCCTTTTGAGTCAACTCATGAAATTAATGTCAACCTA